TTTAAGGCAGGTACAGAAACACGGTAGCATCACCAAGCTAACAAAGTGGCTTCTCTATGTATTTGGCAATTTTGTAATAAAGCTGGGCTTCTTTTAATAGCAGTCATATTGAAGATTCAGTTGCCCCGAAACCTATTTGCTTCATTATAGTAAAATACATATTTCAAGATCAAAATGTTGTACTTGATGGCTGCAGCAAGAACGTTAGAAATATATCAGGCATTAAAACAGCACAGAAAAATTCATCAGAACAAGAATGGTTTTATAAACAGTGGGATCTAGAAACCCTAATTAAATTACTGAAGACTCATGTAAATTTTTAGCATTTTGGTGAAATCTGGCCTCCCATGATATCACCTGCAAGTGCAACAAGTTATTTTCCCTAATTTGATATGAGTAAACTTGATTTAATGTATTTACCTTAGAAGAGTTACTAACTCATTTATGCTCTCTGTTTGTTTCTAAGATGCATGTATTAATATTTCTTTTAAATTATACTTGCTATAATGGCGTTTTTTAAATAAAAAAATCTCTGAGCAAGCACTCCTCCACCACCACCACCACATAAACAACACAGAGGCTCATATGGTGTCTTTGGTTACATCTGACCTTCAGGAGGCTCTGGAACTATGCGGGGTTATCCTCTTTCATCATCACAACAATCGTGTGAGATAGGTTGAACTTAGGTACTGGCTGAACCAAGGTGAACTGGGGAGTTTTAAAGCTAAACTGGTATTAGAATCCAGGTCTCGTCATTTCAACACTCTATCTAATGCCATACATGGGCTGTTGAGTATCTATTATAATATACTCTGATTACAATAATTGCTTCCTTTGTAGATAGACTTTATGGTATCATTTAGCCTGAACTCTTACAGTACAAGCTTTCCCTGCCTTTAAAAATTTGCTGCCTTTATATTCAGCTTATACCAAGGGACTCTCATTTCCACAACCCTTTACACTTTATAAATTTGGGGAAATGGTCTCCATTGAAATTCTGGTATGTTGCTGAACTGGGTTGTGGCAACAAGGGCCAGGTCTTTTTCAGTGGCGGCTCCTACCTGGTGGAATGAGCTCCCGGAGGAGATCAGGGCCCTGCGGGACCTTGTGCAGTTCCGCAGGGCCTGCAAGACAGAGCTCTTCCGCCAGGCTTATGAGTAGGAGTCACCACAGCCACTTACACCACCGCTCTTTGTAAAGAGAGACCACCAGGGGGGTGGGGCAACATCTTTCCATCACCCCAGCCTTCCCCCCCGTTACACAAGATGTTAGAAGTTATATGTGCATCCGCAGAACTGATTTTAAGCTGTTTTAAGTTGTTTTAATTCTATATTCTGTATCATGTAATTTGTATACTGAACGCATGCGGTGCCTTATGTAAGCCGCCCTGAGCCTGCTCGCGGGGAGGGCGGGGTATAAATGTCATAAAATAAATAAATAAATAATATGCCTCTGGGTGTTTGTCTGGCTCAGGGAGCAATCCTAAACAAGGTTAACCAAAAGTAAGGCCCATGTTATTTAATGGGGCTTACCCACACAGATGTGTCCTTAGGACTGTAGCCTAACTCGGTTTAAACCTTATATTAGACAGTCAGTGTGGTATAGAATTCAAGTGCTGTACTAGAATATGCAAGACCCAGGTTTGCTGGGTGACCTCAGGACAGTTACTTTCTCTCAGACTAAACTTTCTCATAAGGTGGTTGTAATAACATGGGAAAGGCAGTACCATGCATAATGTCCCAAGCTCCTTGGAGACAGAGTGGAATAAGAATGTACTACTCAGAGTCAAATGTTTACAAACTAGAATAACAGTCACTGACCACATGCAAGCACCTCTTATTTCAATGGAACAGAACTATGCCCATTATCAGCTTGTAATAGGTATTTAAAACACCAGCTGAGGAATCAAAACCCTGGTTGTCAATTCATGTTTTGTAATGAGATACTGAACTACTAGAAGACACTTACCAGAAGTCCTGCTGAGGACAATAGGACTGTTCATAAGTAAGTGACTTCAAGCCAGCAGCATTAGTTGCAATGATGGAAATAGCAATAATGGTTTTGCTATATTAAGCAGGGGTCTTTTCCTGCAGGAGTGCACAGGAGCAGAGCTCCGGCAGTAAAGAACCCAGGGGGTGGGCACATGCAACAAGCCCCACCCCCTGCTCCCAGCAGCCCTCAGTCAGAGCAAGAAGCAGCCAAGTAAGCTGCAGAGCCCCCCCCCCCGGTCCAAAACAGTCCAGTGGCACCTTTAAGACCAGGTTTTATTCAGGTACAAGCTCTCCCTCCTCTGTGAGGACCGATCTGCATGTCCCCCCCCAATAGCTAGCAATCCAGAACAGTCCAGTGGAGCCTGAGTGGTGGGTGTTGCCTTCTGATACACTTCTGGTGATGTCAGGGGGTGTGACATATGCAAATAAGTTATGCTAATGAGCAATGCTAATGAGCCCCTGCACCTCTTTTTCTACGAAATGACCCCTGCTATAGAGCACGTACTTTGGACTGGGAAATGGCAATGTATTTAAAATTATAGAAGAAGCTGGGGGGGGGGGGGTTTATTGTTTTTTTTACTTTTATCCCATTGGTTCCTCCAAATAGCTTCAGGGTAAATCCAACTGTTCTTCACAACAGCCTTGTGAGGTAGACTAGTCTATGAGATAATAATTGGCCTATGGTCATCCAACAGTCTAAATGAGGGGGCTTTAACTTTCCACACGCCATGATCTTTTCATCTGTCAGGCCCTCCACCCACATCTGCAGTAGGACAAATACACAGAGCTGGCTCAGTATATTCAATTTCTCTTCTGTGTTTTATGATGTATCAGGAACATTCATGTATGGCACAAAATGCACAAGCAAGGTTACCAAGAACTTTCTAAGGTCATGAGAAAACTGTTGTGAAGACAATTTGCATGCTGAATGGGTCTGTTGAGAACGACATGAATCCACAGAAAATCTACAGCATGTGGTAAAGCAAGATTTCCCCACCACATGCTGAACTTGTAGCTCAGCACACTCCCAACCCACCACAAAGGTGGCTGAAAGAGGCATACATGATGACGATCACTTCCAGATAACACATGCAGGGAAAAGCACATGTGACACAAACAGGTAACAAAGGAAGTATACTTATTATGTTTTCCCCATGTGGAGGTCATACTCACGTTGCAAAATTATAATGTGGGGAGGAGCTAAGATGTTGCTGTCTGGCTTTGTAGCAAACCAACCACAAGCCATGTGCGGAAGAACTAGCTTGTATGCTACCCTTCGCATTATGAACTGTTGATTAAGGCCAGATTACTAACAGGGACCAGTATCAGTTGCTCCAGGAAATTGATACTAGAAACAGGGCAACCATGGAATGATCCACCTTCTGCTATTGTTCCCTGCAATTCTGAGCACTTGCACTGTCACCTTGCAAAGGTCACAGTGCCAGGAGCAACTTAAGTCCACACTTGTCACAGTATTGACCTGGTGGATCAGCTTCTCACTGGTCATGGGAATGAGCTACCGGAAAAAGAAATCGCAACTTCCCACTTGTTCAATTTCTTGCCACAGATTGGGCTTTCCTTCAAAAATTCAGGCTGCCATCTGATGCATACTTGACTAGGAGTACAGCCTTATAAACTCAATGGATTTACATCTGAGTAGACCTGCTTAGGATCATCCTTTACTCTCTTTTCATTGCGCTTTCTCACTTGACCATACTTCTGTTTCCAAACCCAGGGCACCAAGTCCTGTGTGCATGATTCACATTGTATGAGAGCATACTATGAACAATTCATCCAATGAAGTTTTTTAAAAAGGTTTTGATTATACCCTGTTTGAACAATAGCTCAAGGCTTTCATTTTGGGACACTGACTCCCCACCCCCCCAAGAGTGACCCACACAGATTGTTAAGAGAAAGAACCTGAAAGATGCTTTCTGTTGTAGGTCATCTGTACTACAGGCAACTGCAGCTGATGCCTGCTCACTTTGGGAGGAAGCCACATTTAACACGGTGGGACTTGCTCCTACAGAAACATGGACAAGATCTGGTGGCACAGATGTGTTTGCATGCACATGCAAGCAAAATAAATAAATAAGGACAACAGCAAAGTTCGCAGCACACTGAAAGTTCTCCCTGAAAGGAAGCATGCCAGTGTTTTATTTAAGCGAACAGCTGCATCGCTAACCAGTTAGAGAAACACTTATTTCCCAACGAAGTGGGGCATCTGTCTCTTGTCATTTCCAGAAAAGCAGGGCAGAGTTGACATGATGTAAGGAGCTTCGCAAAAGCAACGCATTCGGGAAACGTTCTTAAACATTTCTTTTGCGCTCTCCCCCCCCCCCCCCCGGTCCTCAGCCAGTGTTCCCTCTAAGCTGAGTGAGTGTGAGCGAGCTCACCATTTTTTAAGCCTCCGGCTCACACCCTTTTTGCCTTCGCTCAAGAAGGAGGACTCCAGAGCAGACTGGTTTATGCAGCACCCAAACCGCCCGCTCACAACTGTAACGCCAGCAGCTCACAAAGCAGAATTTTGGCTCACAAGCCTCCACGGCTTAGAGGGAACTCCGGTCCCCGGCGACTCTCGAAAGGCAACGACTTATTCGGAATCCTGCTCAGGCTGGCGTAGAAAAACAAACCCACCACCACCACCACCCTTCTCTTCTTAAGAGAAAGCCCCTTTCTTGCCCGATATAAAGAGCAGCCCACCCAGTGTTCCCTCTAAGCTGAGTTAGTGTGAGCTAGCTCACAGTTTTTTAGCCTCTGACTCACATATTTTTATCTTAGCTCAGGAGGGATGGCTCCGGAGCAAACTAATTTATGCAGTAGCCAAGTCGCTCGCTCACAACTTTAATGCCAGTAGCTCCCAAAGTAGAAATTTTGCTCACAAGACTCCAGAGCTTAGAGGGAACATTGCCCCCAACCCCAAGGCAGGCACAGAAACGGAGAGCGCCATTCGAACACGCAGCCGGTCGGAACCACGTTGCGTTCGCGTCAGGGTACAAAGCCACTCACCCACAGGCGCCCGGGATGACCAAGCCTCGTCAGACCCACGACGAACTTCCCGGCCGCTTCCAGTCGCCTCCCCTTTCCCCCTCAACTCCCTCCCTCCATCCCCCCCTCCCCGAAAAAGCGGTGAGAAAAGGACAGTCATCGACGCCCCCCTCCTCCTCCACCAGTCCCGCCCCCCTCCTCTTCTCCCCCACCAGTTTCTGTCCAATCAGCCTCGCGTTCCCCTCTTAAAGCGACAGCGCCCTCCCTGCAGAGTCGATTCCACCACCCGTCCTTTATAGTGCAGCCGCGGCTACTATAAATAGATTCGACCTAGATTTCGGGAGGAAGGGGGGGGGGTGTTGAGAGGACGGGAGGGTTTTGGGGTTGGTTTTTTTAAACTGCCGTTTGTCTTTTGCTGACCAGCCGATCAAACCACTACCTCTGTGGCGACAGTATCCGGGACGCTCAACGACCGCCCCCCCAAGGACTCTGCCGTCCGGCTTCCCTGGAATCCTAAAAAGAAGAACCTTTTTCTGATCGAGCCCGGCGACCTCCGTCTGGGAAATGGCCTGGTCCCGCCAAACCTCTCGGAATGACTCGGGTTTGGGGGTTTTTTTTTGTTTTTTTTTAAGGTGGACCGGAGCCGCGGAAGAGTCGACGGAGGCGCTTTAAAAGCGCTTCGGGATCCAGATGTGACCCACAGCTGCAAAACGGCATGGGTTCCGCAGAGAGACGATCCGTTTGGCGTTTTCGGGGCTTTCGGCAGTTTCCGTGTGGCCTTGTTCGAGGCGATAAACCAGACAAAAGGGCGTGGAGGGCGATTTGCGTCGATGTCTTTTTGGAGAACTAAAGAAGGCTCGAGATCACGCAAGACTTTCGGGATTTCAGCTGTTCCTCTTTTCAACGTTACTGTAGTTGGAATATAAGAATGGCACGATACGCGCCAGACGTGCCACATACACAAAATCCACGCCATTGGTGCTCTGCTGTTTAATCGAGACCACCTCCTGCTCCAGGTTCTTTCCCACGTGGATAATGCAATGCAATGCAAGCACGTGTTGCCGTTTCTGCTTAAAACAATCTCTAGATAAACTACAATATAATCCTATGAAGATTTAAAGGTCAAGGTTTCCCTTGCCCAAAAGCCAGTCGAATCCGACTCTAGGGTTGCGGTGCACATTTCCGTTTCCAAGCCAAAGAGCCAGCGCTGTCCAAAGACTTCTCCGTGGTCATGTGGCCGGCATGACAAGACTCCAAGGCACACAGAACGCTGTTCCCTTCCCACTGAAGTGGTACCTATTTATCTACTGGCAGTTTCTTGCTTTTGAACTGCTAGGTTGGCAGGAGCTGGGGCCAGAGAGGGGAACTCACTCCTGGTCTCGAACTGCTGAACTACCCACCTTCTGGCCTGCAGTTCAGCGTTTTAACCACTTTAGCCAGTTTGAACCCAAGGATGTGAACTAGAGTAACCCTCAATGAATAAAATGGGACTTCTGATTAGATGTGCTTAGATTGCTCTCTGGGTGAGCCAGGGGGCCTTTAAATAAGTCAGGGGCACTGATAAAATAAAATAAACTCACACTCACAGGCAGGAGGAAGGTTATTTCCCCAATTGTGGAAGGTGGGTTTAAGTGGAAGTCAGTCACTGACTCCCAAGTAACCTGAGGAGGATCCCCTCCTCCTCTCATTTCCCCCCTCCCTCAACCGCATTGGCTGTGTGGAGTGCAGGGAACTACGGCAAAAGTGGCGGGCTCCTGTTCTGTTCCTTATTTCTTTCGTGCTTCCATGGTGACTTTGCCTCGGTCACACCCACTGCCCTGCAGGGGGCTTTCTGCTGCAACCCTTCTCTCTCTTTTTTTAAACCCCTGGAGGGGTATTTTTATTTTTTCAATAAGACGACAAACTACAAAGAAAAATATAGGAAGGGGAACTACAACTATGGATAAAGAAAAGATACGCACACTAACTAAAAACCCAAGAGTGGGAGACCCCCTTTATGTTAAACTTAATATTAGTATTAAAAGAGTTAGTAAAACAATATACTTGTAGAGTTCTTGTTTTTCACATTGTTCTGTATTAGTAAATTAGTTATTATGAGAGAACTTTCTGAGCATCTTCTTTATTTCAAAGAGCCATTTATCAGAGTCCTTCTGCCCTTACTTTGGCTTTCTGTCTCTAAAATCATATACAGTTTACTGCAACACTTCTCAGACTTGGAAGTGGCAGCCCGCCCAGGGAGACAAGCCAAAGGAGGAGAGGTGGGCGAGCAGATGGGATGGAGATGGCTGCTCTGCTGCTGGTGGCGGCTTGTGTGCGCCCTGCATTGGTGCAACTAGGCTGGACTGAGAAGGTGGGAGCTGAAGGAAAAACCCGGGAGGGGAAGCTGAGGGAGTGCTGTGTTTCTCTCTCCCTTGGCAGCCAGCTTCCTCAGTGAGCGAGGTCTGCAATCTTGCACTGGAGGGAGAAGGGGAGAAATCTCTGTAGTTGCAGGTTCAGCCACAGGACCCACAGCCCCCTGGCTGCACCTCATCTGCCAGCCCGCTTGCCTGGCTGCCTTGCATGACTTCATGCCGTGGCTTAGGGATGTGCATTCAGTTCGTCTAAGCTGAATGAACTCCCGAAAATGGCCCCTTTCGGGCTTCTGTGGGCCGATTCAGAATCTCTGCTCTGAATCGGCCCCAGTATATCCTATGGGCCATTGAAGTCAAAGGCGAAAACAAAGGGTATATTCTGGGGGCTAGAGGGGAGGTGGTTTGAAGGAGAGGCTCCAAACTCACATGGTAGCTGCTGGAGCCTCTCCCCAAGATACCCACCAAGTTTCAAGAACATTGTACCAGGGGGTCCAATTCTACAGGCCCCCAAACAGGTTGCCCCATCTCCTCCATTGTTCTCTATGGTGGGGGAAAAGTTACTTTTT